CGTATAGTAGCCCAGGAATAAGAATTACCTCCATTATGGCATACCATTTGGAAAAGTAGACAACCCAAGGTATTGCAAATGGGGTATATGTCCAGTCATTTTTAGTAGCCACTTAGTCACAAACACTGGCCAAATATTAGTTTTTTTGCTTTTTTCACAAAAAAACAAATATGAACGCTAAACCTGCTACTAAAAAAGACTAAACATACCCACATTCAATACCTTGGGTTGTCTACTTTTTCAAATGGTCTGCCATTATGGGGGTAATTCTCATTCCTGGGCTAGCACACCGTCTCAAAGGTAACATTACTAATCTGGCAAATTTCAATGTGAAAATGGAATTCTGTATCTACTCTTTGCAGGATTTACTTTAGCTTCTTACCACTATTGATTTACAGAGTGAGATTATTTAATTCTTACTACTTATTTCTTACTGTGATTTCTCTGTGCTATTTAAGTAATAAGGTTACACTTCTTCTTTATTATTATTTTGTTCTTTATATTATTCAGGGGCTTTATTTACTCCTATCTAAGCATAGGTTATATTGACTCTGCCTTTTCCTAATTGTTATTACGATTTAGCTACTCATTTTTTATATACTATATTTATTAAAAGTTATGTTTTATTGGGTTAATCACCTCTAGAAGGGTTCACCTAAGTTTGTGGTTTACCCCTTTTTTCAGTATATTTCTTAATGCAATTATTATTATATCATAAATAAGATGTTGATCCCATTTTGGGAGATTATTAGGGAAGTTTTGTAATAAAAAATATATTGCATTATAATTATATTGTTTTCAATGCTTCAGTTTTCATAAAATACATAAAGAAACGTAGGGACTACTTTTCCTTTTGTACAGCAGTCAAGATGACAAAACTTGACAATAGGCAAAAGCTTAAAGCAAGGTTCTGTTTCAGTTGTAAATTTACTCACAATTCATCAGTAAAATCAACCCCACAAAACAGCAAACAGCAGACATCACAAAATGACAGCTCCCAGAAATTGAGATCCGGCTCAAAGAAGAAAGGATAATAAATATAAATAAAGGCAAGTAGCAAAGGCAGAAAGTGTAAAAAATAAGATACATTATAAACAAAAAATAAAATTACAAAGCCGATTTAAGATAAAGCAGCACCTGGGACCTCTTTCCCTCTTAACAACAGTGTTTTTTTTTAAGGGACACTATAGTTACCAGAACAACTACAGCTTATTGAATTTGTTCTGGTGAGTAGAATCATTACCTTCAGGCTTTTTGCTGTAAACACTGTCTTTTCAGAGAGAATGCAGTGTTTACATTACAGCCTCGTGATAACTTCACTGGCCACTCCTCAGATGGCTGTTAGAGATCCTTCCTGGGTCATGGCTGCCTAAAATGCATCCAAACATTCAGTATCTCCTCCCTCTGCATGCAGACACTGAACTTTCCTCATAGAGATTCATTGATTCAATTCACCTCTATGAGAAGATGCTGATTGGCCAGGGCTGTGTTTGAATCATGCTGGCTCTGCCCCTAATTTGTTCACATGCAGATAAGGGGCAGAACCAGGAGCTGCAGACTTGAATACAAGTACAATTTATACTTACTTAAGAGCAATTGCCCCTTCCCCCCTGCGACAAACAACAGTGCCCTGCTCTCCCCTGCCAGCCCTGCTGGGTGCCTTCAAAGACTGGAGGGGAGATCACTGATCTCCCTCACCGGTCCGCAGGCACCTTTGATCGCAGCCAACAAGGAGAGAGAGAGGACCCGAGAGCTCAGCCTGCAGCTCTTCCGGGTCCTCCTCTCACGAGCACAGAGCGTTGCCGCGGTTACCACAGCAACACACCAGTTCTCGCAAGAGTGAACTCTAGCCCAGGAGCTGCAGGCTAGAGTTTACTCTCACCACTAGGACCACCAGGGATTCTCCACCGGACCACCAGGGATTGCAGGAAATAGGAGGGGTGATATAAAAATGATTTTATTTATTTGCCCACCAAACCCCCAATAACTCCCCACACACAAACTGCCCCACAATACACACACACTGCTCCCCAATTTATCCACACACTGCCCCAATACACACACCCTCCCTAAATACATACACACGTACACACACACACTACTCCTCAACACACACACCCTCCCTAAATACACACACACTGCCCCCCGATAAACACATACTGCTCCCCAATACACACACACATACTGCCCGAACACACGCACACTGCTCCCCAATACACACACTGCTCCAAATACACACACACTGCCCCCAATTCACACACACAACTGCTCCCAATACACACTGCCCCCAATATATACACAAGCACACTGCACCCCTCACACACACACACACTACTGCCCCTATTCACTGCTACTGTCCCTATTCCCTAGGAGGGCACCATGGCGCTCCTGGCACCATTTTTTTTTTACTTTTACTTGAAAATTCTTTTACTTACCTATAAAAGCTAATGAAAAAACTGCTAAATAGATTCAAAATTTTGTCCTTAGTTTAAAAACACCTAGTGTTTACGTGCTTTTTTGTGCAAGTTATAGGGCTAAGTACAAATAGGAAATTGCTAGTTCAAAATATATATATTTTTTAAATGTATCAGTAGTGACATTGTAACACTATTATTTGTCATAAATCTCTGAATCACATCCCACATGTACATATTTTTTTAAAGTAGACAACCCAGGTTATTCAGTATGGGGTATGTCCAGTCTTTTTTAGTAGCCACTTAGTCACAAACACTGGCCAAAGTTATCATTTATATTTGTCTGTGTGTTAAAAATGCAAAAAACGCTAACTTTGGCCATAATACATTTATATTATTATTTTTTTTATACACGTATTGCTTTATTTTTAAACTTTAGTTCTGATTTTACACTTGCAGGGAGACTGCCTGTCAGCACAGACAGTCCCCCTGCAGGCAGATACACAGGCACCTATTGCGGCCATGTGTTTGAGCGATCACGTGGCCGCAGGGTCCTGATCTGCCACGGGGAGACTCTCTGGGCAGACAGGCAGTCTCCCTAGACCGGGTGAAACGCTGATCGCCTAAGTACCCCAAGACCGTTATGACGGTTCAGGACCATCATCGGTCCTCAATGGGATGTTTCCGATGACGGTCCTGAACCGTCACCGGTCGTCAAGGGGTTAAATAATCTACCAGTGCCCCTCCCGATATTAGGTTCTGGATCCGCCCCTGCCTAAAAGACAGAAGGTATTCCTCCATTTAGGTGATTAAACACTGTAAACACAAGTGTGATATGATAAGCCAGGTTTAAAACAAAATGTAAACACATTAAACAATTAAATGTCTTTTGAAGGCACAACAAAATGAACTTGACATTTTAAAGGCCTTTTTCGGGATATTAGAGTGTAAAACAGACTTTAATTTTTGATTCCTGTCACAATTACATGTTAAATATTTTGCTCTCTACAATGTCTATATTCTGACCAACGTTCATTTGTAAAAATGCAAAATAAAAAAAATGAGCCATAAATCACCAACTTACCCACACCTGTGTAAATAATTTACCTGCTTCGGGCAGTTGCTCCTCTCGATAGGCCGTGCAGTCACACTGATCCACTCGTCAGGCCACGCAGACTTAACACTCCACGTGGCCTCGTGACCTGAACAGGGAATACACATACTTACCATTCGGTCCCAACAAACCGCTCCTCCTCCTGGTTTGTGCAGGCCTAATGTATGGCTGCTTCTTATTTATCTTCTCTCGGACACTGCCCACTGTTTTGCCACTCCGTTTTATATTCACGCCCACAGTTAAAAGTGCCCACATCTAGGCAGCCCCATGATGACGTGGACCAATCAGAAAGTGCGTTAGCCTATATAAACTTAATTTTGTCCCTTTTTCATTGCCCTAGCGTGCTTTTGCCTTGATACACGTTAGTGCTCATGGTAAGTCTCCCTTTTGATATTGACTTTGGCTTGTTTCTGACTTAGAGTATTTCTGGTATCCTGACCCGGCTTGTTATTTTGTATTTTTATATTCCTGACCTTGGCTATTTCTGACTGTCTTTATCTTTCTCACGTTAAGTCTGGCCACTCTAAGGCCCAGTAACACGTCTATCTAGTACCTCTGTTTGTGGTACTTTGTCAGTCCTGTGAGTTGGGATATAACCCTGTGACACACTCTTGCTCCAGCTCTGGTTTTCATCCTACAGATAAACACATTTTGTCACTCTGCATAGGTACTGAAATAGTAGCTTCTACTGTTTCCCACACTCTACAGCAAAATTTGCATGTAAAACTGTGCACATTCCGTATACTAAATGCATTCTTTGCTGGTCGCAGCTATTGTTCAATATAGTACAGATTCTTACTGTAACTGTACTAACCCTATGTAAGACATGTTTACGTGGTTGCTGCAATTTTAGGGTTCTGAATTAAACAAGAGCCATCAGGTTCCTGACAAATATACACAAGCAGAAACAACCGCCCAACCCCACAAATATCTATTTCATTGAATAGAGTCCATTTTTATTGTGTCACCAGGCAACATTTGACTTTATCTTGGAATGGGCAGGATTGGTATGTAAGCACTCTCTGCTAAAGGGGTTCACATGACCTCCTACCACACAATATATTTTTTTTCTTTTTACAAACCCCCATAATCTATTTTTGTTATACCTAAAGTATGTTGCAAAAATAATGGTAGGAGTCGCACCCAATCCCAGCAGCCACCCGGTGCTCAGGAGCAGGACCAGCAATCCCACAATGACAAGGCAATGAAAAATATTATCCAGGCACTCAAGGTGTTACATAGCTAAATTATGCAGCAACAATCGTAGTTTTTCTCTTATTCTAACATTTCAATCGCTATCTGAAATAAAAATTATCAATTTAGCTGCAAACATTCATATTCCATTTTTTATAAAGTATGAATAAATGAAAATGTACTCATTTATTTTTATTTTTAGATATCCAGGAACAGTAATATATTCAAGAAATAATATTTAAGCAATTAATTCCATGTCTAAAAAAAAGAAACAAAAGTTAACTTTTTCATATTTTGTTTTTATTTACAGAAATCAGTTTGAATATCTTTGTTTTTTTGTAATTCCATCGCTGTGACGGGAGTGTTAAAAATGAACAAAGATAGGTTTCATTAGTATTGCAGACTCCTATATAGAATAAAAACATTTTTCTCAACCAACATTAAAATATATATACATTTTTAAATGTACAATACTCAAAGTACTACTAAAGTAGTTTCATTTATCTTCTATAAAACCTCTAATGTGGTGTGCTGAGCAATATATTAACACTGATGATTAGTGCAATGCTCCATAATACCATAACCAGTTAAAAACATGAGATATTCAACACACATCCATACTTCACACTGCTTTGTACCTTTCTCCTTGCAGGCTTGTGTCCACGGAAAGGTTATTTATTCTGTAGCAATAAAAGGCCCCAAGAAAGGCAGCGGGTTGTATAGTTACCTCCTCCTGGGCAAAAAAACAGCCCTAAAACTATGCAACCTACTACCTCTTCCTAGAAACCCACTTCTTTCTACTTATCTTGCATCTGCAAATGCGTCTTTAAAATCACAGTAAACGTCACATTAAGAGTGTCATTGTGAGGTCCCCAGATAATATTGTACTACTAATCTTCTCCAGTGAATGTCTAATACAGAATATATGGATGCCAAAGTTCGACATGCCTGCCTTGCTCGACAATAAACCGATTTACAAAAATACACAAATGGCAAATACAGGATTATTGAAATTCACAGGGTTATTCATTAAAAATTGTCAAGAATTCAAAATTATTTCAAAGTGAATTTTCAAATTTTACTGCAAAAAAGCTGAAACGCTGAAAAAATTCTCCTAATCAGCTATGGTTTTGGTTTGGCCATTTTGCCTAGAATTTGAAATTCCTTTTGAGTTTGCTTGGAATTCCCTACAATTCACATTTTGGTGAAAACCCTGAGGTTTACAAATGATCCCAACTTTGGTTCTGCTCATTGTAAATAGGAAAGATGTCTGATTATAGCCTTCTTCAGAATTTTTTGCATGCAACAATTGTATTGGGTCACCAGAGGGCACTACACAACAACAAAAAACCCCCATAGAATTCCTGGAAAAACAACACAAGTATGGACATATTAATAATTTAATGGCATTGTTGAACGTCCACTCCTCAAGGAAGGCAATAGATTGTATAGTTATCTCCTAAACAAGGTAAAATCACTACCTCACAACTATACAATCTACTACCTCACCCTGACAGAGCAACTGGAAAGAGCAAAGCTATTACCATGTCACAGCATGGACGGACAAATCTCCTTCATATTTATTCACAAAAATATATCAACTATTTATAGTAAAACAGATCAATAATTTGGAAGTAAAAAATACATGTAATTTTAACAGCAGAAAACAATTCATTTGAGACCTCGAGACCTTGAGACTCCGATGCATTTCTGTAACTTTAGGAAAGACAGTAGATTGTGTAGTTATCTCCCAGTGGTGGGTGTGACCAAAAAACTAAACAACCTACTACCTCATCCGAAAATTCAGAGCTTCCTCTTGGACGTCTGTGGCAGGAGAGAAGTCAACACGAAAATATTAGGAAGTTGCTTTAGGGTCCACCTAGAAAAGCAAGGTCAGATAAACACTTGTTAAAAAAAAAATAATAATAATGACAAGCGGGAGAGAACCACCACAGGTTTCCATAAGCACATTTTATTATACAAATGATAAATATCTACCAATATTGCAGCTAGGAAATATATTACTGAAGTTAAGATGCATTTATTATATCCTTAAGCCAGCTTGGGAATTAAAATGGTTTCTATGATATGCAACGCCAGGGAAAAATACGCCATTTTATCAAGTTTATGCCAAGACTATTATTATACAGGCATCCAAAATATTAAAAAAATACAGACCCATTAAACCCCCTTATTAATATTTTTCTCATTATTTACAAAATATTGTCTAGTACTGCAGCTGTTAGTGCAATGAATGTTTAGTAAGCGGCATAAATTTTATTTTATTAATGGATTACCTTACTGATGGTAGAATTCTTTCAAGACTAAATTTAGGTTGAATAGATATAAGAAATAGACTTAATTGGTTTGTAAATGTATTATAATTTTTATAGATCATAAATAGGACTAATACCCATACATTGATGCACATGTGTATTACCATACATGCACAAAAAACAAACATACATTTAGAACGTTTTTTTTTTTTAAAAAAAGTCCAAAAATACTTACTGTGTGGAAAATCTATGAATAATACGTCATCGCGATATACATAGGTCCTGAAAAAAAGAAAAAATGTGTTTTATCATACAGAAATACAAAACAATTATTTTGTTTTAAAGGTAAATAAAAAGATAATATCAAGTGATAATAGCATATATGTATAGAGCAGTATATTTTTATATATTTTTTTTTGGGGGGGAAGGGGGAAGTGGGGGTCATTGGATTATCGCAAATGACTTCAGCTCCAAACAAAGCAATGATGGAAAAGGAGAAAAAAGCGACGGGTCTGCTCAATGAATCTTACGGCAGAAGGAATATTTTACCCTGTAATCTGCATCACAGCACAAAACGAGCCATAATCACAATAATGAGAAATTACATCTATGCAGAAAAGAAATGGCAAATATTAAAAAAATTTGCTGCTGCACTAGCCATTTATTTGTCCAGACTATCTTCTCTAAAACAGAAATTGTCTCTTTACTGAACCGCTCATTCAGTATTCTGCCAACACTTGGCATATCTCCCAGACTTGCTTTCAGCAGGTTGTATGCCTATGTATCATCAGAACCTAATCTAATGCATTTTTTTAAGTATTCCAGCACACAGATGGGTACAAGCAGTTGGTCCAAAATGCTCAAAATACAGATAAAACTGGAACAAGATGGCACTGGAACAAAAAAAGATGCTGGCACAAGGCCTTCGGAGAACACATGATCCGGTCGATGGAAACTGAGAAAAATATTCAGCAGGGAGAATAAACAAATGCATACAATGTAACAAAGATTTGGCCTTTCCCTTTCTCTCAGAGGAAATTTTCAGCAGCCGGGCTGTAAAAATCCAATAAATATGGAGCGTGTACAATCCCGAGGATGCTTATCAAATCCTGCTGATGCCTGATCACTCCAGTGAGTCAACTGACGTCACCCAACAAACAGCATCAGCACCGTACACAGGGCAACCTGTCACATGTCTGTCCCACGGATGTTCATTTCACGAGCGCCAACATTAGCTGGCACAGAATTATACCTAATATGATCTCTAGCTTTATTTATAAGCAACATAAACAGGAAAAATTTAAATAGTCATCAAGATTATTATATTTTTTTTACATTTTGAAATAAAGCAAATAAAAAAGAAGAAAAAAAATAGAAAAGAAAAATTGTTAGAAAAATGGCAACAGTCAAAGCTAATAAAGAGGAATCTCTGAGTCAATTTGGGACTTTTTTTCTTCTCTAAGCTCAAAAAGGAACTTATCTTTAAAAGGACCAATTAACACGTGGTTTCTATCTATAGATCTCTATACTTAACCAGAAAAAAAATCTTATCTGAATATTTCTATTCCTGTCTAATTACCGTATATACTCGAGTATAAGTCGACATGAATATAAGTCGAGACCCCTAATTTTACCCTCCAAAACTGGGAAAACTAGTTGACTCGAGTATAAGACTACCGTGGGAAATGCAGCAGCTACTGGTAAATTTCTAACTAAAATTAGATCCCCAAAAAATTATATTAATTGAATATTTATTTACAGTGTGTGTATATAATGAATGCAGTGTGTGTGTGTGTATATAATGCAGTGTGTATGAGTGCAGTGTGTATATGAATGCAGTGTGTGTGAGTATGAATGCAGTGTGTGTATATGATGCAGAGCCTTGGTGGGGGGTGGGCATTTGTATTATTTTTTTTTTAATTAATATTGTTATTTTAATATATATTTTTTTATATTATTATTATTTTTTATTTTATTTTAATATTATTTAAATCTTTATTTATTTTCGCCCCCCCCCCCCATGCTTGATACATGGCCAGGGAGGGGGGCTTTCATTCCCTGGTGGTCCAGTGGCGTGTACTATGCAGGAGGGGGGCTGGCAGTGAGCTGTAACTTACCTTTCCTGCAGCTCCTGTCAGCTCCCTTCATCTCCGTAACCCGTGGCAACGCTCTGACCTCGCGGCTCTCGGGAGACTTACGGTGGGAGCTGACCGGCACGGAGATGAAGGGAGCTGACAGGAGCTGCAGGAAAGGTAAGTTACAGCTCTCTGGCAGCCCCCAACAAGACCGCCGGGCTTGTAATGAGCCCGGCGGTCCTGGTCTGTATTATGGCAATGTAAGTTGCCATAATACAGACAGTGACTCGAGTATAAGACGAGTGGGGGTTTTTCAGCACAAAAAATGTGCCAAAAAACTCGTCTTATACTTGAGTATATACGGTATGTTAGTCTAGAATCTCAACTATTCCATTTCGTTCTACGTGGTAGTAAAAAAACAAAATTAAAAACCAAAAGTGATTGTCATGCGGACGGGTGGTCGGGCAGACAAAGGGGTGTTGCCAGTGACACAACTTGCGTCTAGGGGTGTGTCAGCATGGTGTCAAGCAACACCATTAAACGCCCTCACACTGTGCAGCAGACACTAGGATCATGCGGATGGCGCTTCAACAGTGTTCTTTGTATAATCCTAGTAACTGCTACACAACGTGAGTACTGTGCTGCCCAAGGACAGTTGTCTGGTGTCCCCAGATATGAAACACCAGGAAACTAAATAGGGACAGTTGAGATTCCCGATTAGACATTGTCTTATTAAACTACACTGAAGTATTTCAAATGAACTAATCAAAAAGAAAATTAATTAATCAGTAGAGGGTAATAGCTCACTATGGCCTCAATTTAAAGGGTTACTCTATGCCTTTTGAAGATAAAACTGTAAAATGCCCTATTGGCACTTTGGTGAAGGCCCCCCTCAGTTTGTACTATAACCTGAAAAATAAAGAGTTTTACTTACAGTGACCTTCTACGGTGATTGGTCTGTTTCGCCAACTCAGAGTGCACGCGCGTGCTCTGGGTCAGGGAAGGGAGGAAGTTGAGATGGAGAGAGTTTAAAAAAGTTCTGAGGGAAACAGATGGAGGCGGGATGGAACACACAATGGGTGTAAGGGAGAGGCAATCACTCTTCAGTGCACACAAAATATGCACAAAGTTCTGGGCGGCCAATGTTGCATGTGCTTGGGGTGTAACTTGCCCCAGCATACAATTAGCAACATCTCAGGATGTGCAGCGTTTTAAGCTGGAACTCTGCACATATATTCTGCTACCAACATAACCACTTCAAACTTCAAAAATAAGCTTTTTAAGTGATTTATTATGATAATTTTTTTTATTTATTTTTTTAATGTTTTGATGTTTGTTTATGTATTTTTTAATATTTTGAAAAATAATTTAGCCACAAATATTCAATCGTTTGGAAAGCTTATCCAACAATGTTAAAATTGAGGCCTAAATCTTATGTAAATTCACCTAGCAAACATTTGCACTAATTTTATTGCTTCACTAGTAGTAAACCAAACACTTTTTTTGAGTATATATATATATATATATATATATATATATATATATATATATACACAAAAGCAAACTCTGGCACTCTTCCTTTGATCCAAACAATTAATAAAGAAATTACCCGGGTGCTTCCAAGCCACTGGTATATCCAATCAATAAAGGAGCACTCCGAAGGATTTTGAAAAAATATTTGTAATCCGGTGTTTGAAAAATCAATACATCAACGTTTCGACCCAATAGGGTCTTTATTGGGTCGAATCCTTCGGAGTGCTCCTTTATTGATTGGATATACCAGTGGCTTGGAAGCACCCGGGTAATTTCTTGATAAAGACCCTATTGGGTCGAAACGTTGATATATTGATTTTTCAAACACCGGATTACAAATATTTTTTCAAAATCCTTCGGAGTGCTCCTTTATTGATTGGATATATATACATATACACACACACATTGAGAAATGCTTTCTTATGGACACTTTAAATGCGCGCGCTGCACTTGCCGGGGAGGAGAGGTCACGAGTACCGAGGCAGCCCGGCGCTGGATTAAGGTAAGTGGCTGAAAGGGTTTTAACCCCTTTAGCACCACGGGAGGGGCACCCTCAGGGCACTATAGTGTTTATACAGCCCTAGCTACACCTCCCTGCATGTGACTTAACAGCTTTCCTAAACACGTTCTGTAAAGAGTCATCTAATGTTTATATTTCCTTTATTGTAATTTCTATTTAATTTAGAATGTATCATCTCCTGCTCTGTTCATAGCTTGTTAGACCTTAAAACGACTCTCCTGTGTGTGCTTAAAGTTAAATTTAGAAGCAGCAGATACAAACTCCTAAAGTAAGTTAACATCTGATTGACAAATGAAACCTT